TATATATATATATATATATATATCTCTTATATTTTTCAGGTTTTAATGTCCACATTCAGGATTCACCTCTTACTCCACTGTTTATAATCTGCTTCCTCTCAGCCACAAAGGCATCATAACACACTCAAGTGCACTGAATCATGTTTACATCTATGTTTTGAGGGGTCTGATTCAAAGAGCAGACAGATGCTAAGTAGGCTGTATTTATTCAAGTAGTCTTCTGTGACACAGCTTTCTTTCTGCATGAATTTAAGAGCTGCACTTGCTGCCTCATGTCAAAACCGTAAATACAAATATTCAACATAAGGCTGTTATATTTATGCAAGATTTTTTTCTTAAATCGTTAAGACATTTGATGTATCAAATTGAATAATTAATTTGATATAACAGACGAGATGCAAAGACCCTCTTGAGGAGGCCACCTAACGTTTTTCGGGATGCAGCTTCTTAAGTGGAAGTCCTGAAAACTTGTTCCACCTCTGACCTCTCATAGAGGTGTCACAGCGACCGTTTGATCCGTCTCTTACCCAGCAAAAGGAGTTTATATTCCCGTCGGGATTCCCTCTTGTCCCGGCGGAGCTGCCTCTCAATCTCATCGTTGATCCTCCGAGCCTCTTTGGCCTCCGGGCTGAGGCAGCATGCCCCCACGGAGCTCAAAATCATTCCTGGTTACAACTTCACCTTCCAAGGTAAACACACATACATACTGTTTGTTCATACAGCGAACACTCCCCCCTTCCCTTCCTCGGTGTATCCTCGAGTCACAACACACAATGATTAAAGCCCACGGTAACTCTTTACTACAAGCTCCAGCAACTACGCCTCCCCCCTCCCGGAGCTGGAAACAGAAGCTTTAGCAAATTTAAGGAAGTAAAGCAGCTGTTCTCGAGGCTGTTACCTTCTTCCTCTCCAGTAAAAGGGGAAATTAACTTTGTGCAATAAGTTGAGCAGACTGCAACGGCGACTGTGGTAGCTGACGCTCCGGGCGTGGTGGACTGAATATGGCGGAGTTTTGACTTCAAGGCGCAACAAAATGACACAAAGATGATATCAATTTAAAAAAAAGTGGTTAAGAAGACCTACTCGGTAAATAAGATCCTGCAACCTTCTATCGCGTTATCCTCCTCTGCCTGCAGACTCCTTTATCCCGTCTCCCCCCCCAACTCTATCCACAGTGAAAACCAACGGCGCGCCATGTGACAGAGGGCTGTGCCGTGATGGGAAGCCGTGTGGGCTTTCACTATTACATTATAGGAGCAGATTTCCGGTGTTAACCAGCGAACTACGGATGCATGTGATAGAGCAACTGGCTGACACACTTCACCATGTCCGTAAACCAATTACATGTACTACAAAGACAGCAGCGCAGTATTGCTCCGCTGAAATAAAAACAAATAGACACACACTTACACTTTGTGGGCTGTGACACAGACTTTATTTACTAAACACCTGCAAGTACTACACAGAAAAATCACCACTCCTGGACTCACAAATCCCTTGACATCAAACTGCAAAGAAAAGAGGGGGGGGGGGGAAGTATCTTAAGAAATCAATTCACAGAACTCTAAAAATCCTTCTCCAAAAATTAAAATAATAAAAAAAAAATGCAAGAATAAAATGGATCCAACTGATCAGCTCTTAAGGTTGGAAGATTTCAGCGAGTCCATCCCTGTGAGTGGTAGAAAAGAAATAATGGAAAGACAACTAAAGATTACCAAATGTCTTTTTTTGTTGTTCTTGTTGTTTTTTGGCCCCAAAGTATTAAGTAATCTGGGCCGTTCTAAACACTCATAAAATTACTGTTTTTTTTATGTAAATATATACACACTTTATACAGCTTTTTGCCTTTCAAAGAAAGAAGATTACACACTCAAAAAAAAAAAAAAAAATCTTAAAACTTTCTTTATGCATACCGCACTGGCACAAGTATCCTGACTTTAAAAAAAGAAAAAAAGGAAAAGATATTTTGGGAAATAGGTTTATTTATTTCCTGCCTGATAAAATATGAAGCTAGCACCATCACGGATTAGAAAGTACACCCACAGTACAAACACTTCAAAAGTTCACAATTTTCACAAATCTTCTGTTTGATCCATAAAAAAAACTGTTTATGAGAGAATTATAAACTGAAAGGTTTCTAAAATAGGCACCAATGGGTTACAAGCAGATATTATTTGTGCTGAGAGGAAGGCCAAAAGTACATTTTAGCTTCTTTCTGTACAAAATAAACAACAACAAGATACAGCATGTTCATCTGTGGACTGATGGGTGGAATTTCTGCTGCATGCATTCACTTTTGTGCTAGAGTAAGCCAACAGGCTGTGGTGCTAGCTTCATACTGACCCTCCAGACATGAGGCTGGCATCTCTCTTTCTACTTTAGCGTAATAGACATAAATAAATTCATTTCCCAAACAATCTCACTGAACCCCATCATTCAAAAAAGAAAAAGAAAGAAAGCACTTCATTACTTCATTTAACAGTGAGAAAAAAGGTGTTGGAGGTCGTGTAAAAACTGAAGTTTATCCAAAAGGCTTTGAACCATTCCAACACCATGCATCTTCATTTGGAAAGTGTGCTTAAAACTTTAAGGGAAAGAAAAAAAAATAAATCAAACAAACATAATGATTCAAACAAAACTATTACATTCTGCATGCTGTACTGAAATCAAAGAAACAAGGGCCAGAGGTTGGCTCTCACAACACCGAAAGTCATCACACAGATGGGTTTACTCCAGTGACGGCACAAGAATCTCTTAAAAGTAATCACACCAGCACAGAAAAACTTGTTGACTGCTGTTTGACAGCTTAAGATTTGTCAAAATAAAAACTGCAACACAGCTAGGCGGTGTAGAGTGTGTGTGTGTGTTTGTGTGGAAGGGGCATGTCTACCCAAAGCAGAGGAATGTAGGCTCTGAATAGCAGGAACAAACAGTATGGCAGCATGGCTTCACTCTTCTGCTTCTTCTCTTTTCTTCCTAGAAGAACCGACCTGAGTACTGCCTCACGCTGAAATAAAAGACAGATAAAAGGTAAGGACGAAACATCAGAAATATTTATGTTAACAGAAACATGGCACGGGTTAAGAAGTTGTAAATCCAGATGTGGAAAAATTGTTAAGCATTTTCCACATGAAGCACATTTGTAAGTTAAAAAAAAGTAACGCAAGGTCAAAGCTGGAAATAAATTCTGTCTGCAAGAAGCGACCCGACCAACTGGTGAGACCAGCTTAGCCATTTAGTGGTGAGAGGGAGCACAGTGAAATGAAAAGCTCCACAAGATGAAACACTGTTTTCATCATTCATTAATCAGCCAGACGATCTTAACGCAGACTGTAAAAAGTTACAAAATAGTATAAAATAGTCCAGATCCAAGGTCGTCTTTAAAGCTTCCCCCACCCAAAGCCAGTTTCCATCAAACTTACACTGCAGAATTATTTCATCATCAATTACCCAAAAGAATTGCACAATTTCCGTTAATAAACTGCTTAATCTAGTGATCTTATTAACTTTCATTTCAGATTTTCCTGGAGAAACTGTGAGTCAAAGTTGACCGATTAAAAGTAAAAAAAATAAATATATACAATTATTTCCATTTGGGTGAGCATGAGCACACAGGTCAGCACAGAAAGGTCTCACTGCTGTGTGGTGTTGATACTGTCCTGGGGAAAATCAGAGGAGTGCGTGCCTGTTCTGCAGCAAGTACTGGGCATTCTGGATCTGGTCCTGTGTCCCTGTGATGGTGATGATGCGGTCCTCAGAGCCCTCTAGTGGTTCATCAATCTTGATGGATGCCCCAGACTCATGGCGGATCTGCTTGATCCTCTGACCGCCTTTACCAATGATGGAGCCTGCCAGCTGCACAACAACCGTAAAGGAGAGTTAAAAAAAAAAACATACATGAAGGAGTGGCATCTCTTTTCTTGTCATTGCTCACTTTAGCTTACATCTTTTGGGATGGTGACTTGTGTTGTGATGACTGGACCTCCGATATCACTGTACGAGCCTCTGCCGCCTAGGAGGAGTTAAAACCACATAAGGTGGAAGAGGGAAAAAGCCATCTTTAACTAAAGCATGCCAGAAGATGCAACAATCCCTATAGGTTAGGAAACAAAACGCTGGGATAGTAACGATCGATCCCAACTCACCAGACTGAAAGTGATCCCAGGAAGAACTGTTGTCTTTGAAAACATCAAAAAGAAAACAAAGAAAGGAAAAAAATGAAAATGCACCCCAGAACAAAGAAAAGAGAAAAGTGATAGTAAAGAATGTAGCCAGAATGTTCCAGACTTGAGCTGCAGTTCAATTATTGAATCAACGGATTCATTTATCAGTAAAAATAAATGATTTAAATGAAACTCACTGTTTTTAAACTGGTAGGCATTGCATGGTTTCATCTTTTCCTTACACAGTAGTATATTCAATAAATAATGAACTTAACTGTTAATCACATTAAGTCAAAGCTGAACTGATAATGGCAGTGTGTTAGAAAACCTGTGAGCTAGTCTATACTCACTGATCAGGCATAACACCATGGCCACTGGGGTGACAGAGATAACACTGATCATCTTTTCATTATGACACCTGTTAGTGGATGGGATCTCATAGGGAGCAAGTGACGATTTTATCCTCAAAGTTGATGAGAAGAAAGTCATGGACAAGTGCAAGGATTTGAGCAAGTTTTACAAGTGCCAAACTGTGAATGCAAGACAACTGGGTCAGCGTGTCTCCAAAACTGCAGCTCTTGAGGGGTCTTCCCAGTCTGCAGTGGTCAGTATCTGCGAAAAGTGGTCCAAGGAAGGAACAGCAGTGAACCAGTGACAGGGTCATGGGAGGCCAAGGCTCACTGACGCACGTGAGGAGCGAAGGCTGACACGTGTAGTGCGATTTAACAGACAAGCTACTGTAGCTCAAATTGACCACAAGGTCAATGCTGGTTCTGATAGAAAGGTGTCAGAATACACAGTGCATTGCAGTTTGTTGCTTAAGGGGCTGCATAGCCACAGACCAGTCAGGGTGAACGGAGCAATAGAAAAAGGTGACCTGGTCTAACCAATGTTACTTTGACACATGCCACCTACCTCAGCATTGTTTCCTCCAAATGACCCACTTCTCAATCCATGTGAGCATCTGTGGGATGTGTTGGACAAACAGGCCTGATCCATGGAGGCCCCACCCCACAACTTACAGGACCTACAGGATCTTTTGCTGACAATTGGTGCCAGATACCACAGCACATGGGTTTAGTTGAGTCCATGCCTTGACGGGTCAGAGATGTTTTGACAGCAAAGGGTGGACCGACACAATACTAGGCGGGTGGTCATAATGTTATGCCTGATCGGTCGAGTTGCCCCATGCCTAGCAGCATTGTGGTGTTCCTATAAAACCTCTCAAAAATAAAAGATGAAATTATGAGAATAAAGTCCAAGAAGCCCTGATTTTCCTTTGCTGAACTTGAATTTTTCCAGGAGATTAATAAAGAAGAACACTCACCATATCCACCTCCACTCTGCATTTCAGGATCAATTGATGGGGGAAAAAATATATATAAGTTTGAATGTCACAGTAAAGACGAAGCTCTCAGAACCTGGAGTAAACTAAATGCTCACTATCCATTCTACATTAAACTACAAACAACTCGTGTACACTCATGCAGACTAAGAACAATCTGATGTTCACCAAGGTGAAGGGGAGTACTCATCCCACAGTATTAAGCACATCCATTTCAAAGCTTTAAAAAAAAAAAAAATCACACTGAACTTTATAAGAACACCATGTTGTTGGCTAGAAATTTGATCCGAGGGTGAAATAACTCTTGGCCCCTTCATGTGATGATTTGCCTTTCTGAAATTATTCATTTGAATAAAGTTGACCAACAGAAAGGCACATGTTGAAGACCTTTAAAGTACTCGTTAGTAAAGTACTCAGCTTTACCTTCCTAGATCACCACAGAGACTTTCAGTCGTTCATATATTTGAAGCACATAAAAGCATCATCAGTTTGAGTTCACAATACTGCCAAGAACAGCTGCAGCTTTTGTGGGGAAGTTCAAGAAAAACCCAATTTTGACTACGCTGCCTCTTACACAGGAGGCTTTTCAGCTGCTCAGCTCACACATGTCTGACAGAACAGATATGCTTCTATTTTAAATCGGCCTGTACGAGTGCTCATAGACTCCATACGTGCCCCAAATCACATTTACACTTTCCAGGATTCTGTTCTGCTGGTTTGTGCAGTGACTCGGCTGGAAGTTGTCAGTGACTTGTGCTGCTAAACACAAACGATGCACTGCTGATCACGCTACAGCTTCCCTGTAGACAATTTAGGCCTTTTCTGTATTAATTTATTTATTTTAAATAAACCAC